TGGGGGAGCTGATAGTAGAGACTATGGGACGAAGAGGTGTATCAACTTTATGTATTTTTGGTAAGCCGTATAATCTTGGTGGCCTGGCAGCAGAAGGTTTCAACGAAAACTGTTTAGATTGATCAATTAATGCGGTTGAATCAGAAATTATTTTGTTGGTTTGTGTGACGAGGCTGTTGGTGGGATCTCTTTTATTTTTGTATAACTACCATCGTCGAGTAATTCTTTAATTTTGTTGTTGTATTCTATTTTATCCATGATGACAGTAGCATTGCCTTTGTCAGCTGAGAGAACTACAATATCATTCCTCTTTTTTAATTTATATAATTCAAAACGCTCATCTTTGCTGAGGTTGCTAGCTGGCATCTTAGCGTTTTTGAGGGTTGCAGCGATTTCAGATCTTGCTACATCTGCAGCGATGTGACCCAGGCCCCTGAGAGCAACGTCTACTTGGGCAATTATATCATTAACTGGTATGTGTTTAGGTGTGACTGCAAAGTTTAGACCTTTAGCTAAAACGGATTTCAGACCATCGGAAATAGAACTGTTACTGCGATTAATTACGACTTTATTAACGTCTAACTTTTTGGTGTGTGGGTCCGGTCTTTTGTTGAAGAGGAGGTTAAATTTGGAAATCAGGTTTTCCTTACATTTGGTCGACATAGTAGCAGCTGAAGAGGCAGTCATATTGTCTACATGTTCCCAATCCGATGTGGACATTATTGCTGTCAATGATAAGTGTGATTTGTAGAGTGTCTTGTCTAACTGATCTAGTTCTGTGCGTATAAGTCTGATTTTTTCTGAGATAAGAGCTAAGCTAGTTTTGAAAAGAATCCGTTTCGCATTAGAAGAAGTTACAGTAGTAGAGGTGAGTGTAAATGCGATTGGTATTACCCCAGAGTCGCGGCATCTCTTCAGGAAGGTGAGAGACTCGATCAGCTGAGCTTTCTTATCCCGGAGTTTGTTGAAGGATCTTAAAGTTATGTGAAAACCCTCCCCGTAGAGGCGATTAAATTTTGATTTAAAGCTTTCGTGACTGCAGTAATTCATATTATGGTCGAGTTATGGTCGAAACGTCGTGAGAATTTTTTATTGTTTTATATATATTTTGTTATTTTGTTGTTTCTCTTCAACGTGACTTTACCGAAAAAACTAAGAATATAAGATATTTATTATTTTAACCCTCCGACTTGCGTGCGTAAACTCGCACTCGCGAACTGAACCACAGAACTATTTAGTGTTATATGTAGATTATTAATATTTGTTCTTAATTTGTGAGTTTAACAATGCTTGAATTTGTTGTTGTTGAACAGTAACACATGTTATAACAATGACCGTATGGGCATTTAAAATACGGTACGTTATTGTTTTCCGACTTACGTAATGGGTCTCACGAACGGAGCCCGTTCGTAGGTCGGGGACGATCTGTAAAATATCTTTCTCTACTGGCCGTCTTTACACATTCTGAAGAAGGGCCATCACTCCAAGGTCGCCTATTATAAACTTTTCCTTTTAGTTATTTGCGAATGTGTTGCGCTTCATGTACACGTAACATCACTCTCGCCGTGCACCACACCGTTGGAGCCGATCGGAACGCACCGGAATGATCAATTTACAGAAACCCCACTCGTGTCTAAATGCCCCTCTCTCTTGCCAACACTTTGTCCCAACACACGGTGCTAATGTTGGACAAACGCGTGAAATCAGCAGAGTTGTTCCAAGATGTAGCGAGTGGATTTGAGATGGGTGGGAGACAAGGCAGAAGGCGACGCTCTACCTCTATAATCATAATCTTAATTACATTCATACAGTGCTTTAACCAAAGTGCCGTTACAGTGAATAAACGATGGTACAACAACATACTGTGTGCATGGGACAAGATGGAATGCGTACCTGTCAACCCCTTATCAGTGCCCACCTTATTACAGACGAATACCGTATGGGTCACCTCGTGCCCCTTATGAATCTCAACGTTCATCCTACAACGTCCCATCACAAGGGAGAAACACAAACAAATAGACAAAAACATTCCCATAGTGAAACGGCTGTACGCCGTATGGACCTGAAAACTCAAATTTCCCTGTACAAGAACACAGGGTGAACCCGTACGGGTTGACACGCTTCGGGAATGAGCACGGTGAATGTTCTACACACACACGATGAGCACGGTGAATGTTCTACACACACGATGAGCACGGTGAATGTTCCACACACACGATGAGCACGGTGAATGTTCTACACACACGATGAGCACGGTGATGATGAAGATGCGTGAGAGTAGACGGAGGTGGAGATGACACGGATGAGTGAGTCGACGGACGATGCCTGTGGGAGATAGGGAAGGGAATCGGTGGCGACGCGGGGAAGGGGCTGACAGGCGACAGAGGGGGGGCGTGCAAGAATAGATGTACAAGGTGTAGTTGTACAATAGATGTTCACGGTGTAGATGTACAAGGTGTAGTTGTACAATAGATGTTCACGGTGTAGATGTACAAGGTGTAGTTGTACAAGGTGTAGATATACAAGGTGTAGATGTACAATAGGTGTAGATGTACAATGAATGTACAAGGTGTAGATGTACAATAGTTGTACAATAGATGTACAATAGTTGAAGATGTACAATGGATGTACAATAGATGTTCACGGTGTAGATGTTCACGGTGTAGATGTACAATGGATGTACAAGGTGTAGATGTACAATAGTTGTACAATAGATGTACAATAGATGTACAATAGTTGAAGATGTACAATGGATGTACAATAGATGTTCACGGTGTAGATGTTCACGGTGTAGATGTACAATGGATGTACAAGGTGTAGATGTACAATAGTTGTACAATAGATGTACAATAGGTGTAGATGTACAATAGATGTACAATAGTTGAAGATGTACAATGGATGTACAATAGTTGAAGATGTACAATAGATGTACAATAGTTGAAGATGTACAATAGATGTACAATAGTTGAAGATGTACAATAGATGTACAATAGGTGTAGATGAACAATAGTTGAAGATGTACAATAGTTGAAGATGTACAATGGATGTACAATAGATGTACAATAGTTGAAGATGTACAATAGATGTACAAGGTGTAGATGTACAATAGTTGTACAATAGATGTGCACGGTGTAGTCGCGCTCCCTGCTATGCCCCACCCTCTCTCTCTCGACTGGCGTTGTCTGCAGCGGGCGCCCACAGGAGACGGAGCGATGGAAGCAGCCCGCGTGTGTGTGCGCATGTGTCCGTGTGTGTGTGCGTGTGTGTGTGTGCGTGTGTGTGTGTGTTCGTGTGTGTGCGTGAGTGTGTGTGTGCGTGAGTGTGTGTCCGTGTGTGCGTGTGTGTCCGTGTGTGCGTGAGTGTGTGTGTGTGCGCGTGTGTGCGTGTGTGTGCATGAGTGTGTGTCCGTGTGTGTGTGTGTCCGTGTGTGTGTGTGCGTGAGTGTGTGTCCGTGTGTGTGTGCGTGAGTGTGTGTGTGCGTGAGTGGGGAGCGGTAGTGTAGCGGTTAGCGCGCTGCGCTATGAACTTGGCGACTCGGGTTCGATTCCCGCTCACGGCCAACACCAGTGACAATTATCTGAACCGATCCCGGGCCTCCCCTAGGTCGACTCAGCCTCAAATGAGTACCTGGTGCGGTGTGTAAACATCGCCACTAGGGAGACAAAGGCGGTCGGGCGTGGTGCTGGCCACCCACCCCCTCGTGTACCGTTCCGGCCTTCATAGGTGCTCGCTAACAGCACTTGCCCCTACAGTCTGTTAAGGCTATATGGGGGATCTTTGTGTGCGTGTGTGCGCCAAAGGGCAGTCGCGAGGACGCACCACCGCCGCCGCCGCAGGGATCAGCGAGGGCCGGGGCAAGAGTTCGTGGGAACCCTTCGTCCGGCTGTGGATCGATCACGTTTGTGATTGATGATGATGGTGGTGGTGCCCTGGTGGTTGATGATTATTGTTGTGTCGCGGGAGGGTAGCGGGGAGGGCGTTGCGCTACGAACCCGGCGTACCGGAGTTCGATTCCCGCTCAGGGCCAACACCGGTGACGATTATCTGAACCGGGCCTCCCCTAGGTCGACTCTGCCTCAAATGAGTACCTGGTGCGATGCGTAAACATCGCCACTGCGGAGACAAAGGTGACCGGGCGTGGTGCTGGCCACCCACCCCCTCGTGTGCCGTGCCGGCCTTCATAGGTGCTGCTCGCTAACAGAACTTGCCCCAACCGTCTGTTACAGGCTGCACGGGGGGGATTCTTTATTTTGGGGTGTCTCGAAATGAATCGCCCTATACAATGGACGATTACACAGCAGCCCAGTATCTTTGTTTCTTACACAGCACCGCACACACACACCGCACACACACACACAGTGTGTGTGTGCGGTGTGTGTGTGTGTGTGCGGTGTGTGTCAAGTCTTGAGAGGAGGCATGAGACTGTGTGTCGAGTCTGTAGAAGCGAGATGAGACTGTGTGTCGAGTCTACAGCAACAAGTTTGAAACCGCGTTGAAGGGGCGAGACGGGGAGCTGCGTGCAGGGAATCAGGCACGAAACGACCGCGCGGCACTCACGAGGAGCAGCCACTGAGCTGTCTGGCAGTCAGGCGCGGCGAGGATGGGGAACCCCCCCGCCCGTCCAGCACCAATCTCACACCAGTGGCCGGGTGTCGCCCTGCGTGCCTCCTCCCCAACTCCCAAGTCTCGAGCTCTCTGCAACTCTCTCGTCGCTGCGCGGCTCTTTGTAACCGCGTGCTGCGTCCCCTTGCCTCTCGACTCTCCCCCGTCTTTCGACTCCCCCCTGTCTATGCGCAGCTGTCTATCAAACGCCTCTTTGTCTCTCTCTCTCTCGCTCTCTGTCTTCCCCACTCGCCTCCTTTCTCTGAAACCCTCCGTCCGACCGCCCGCCCAGCTCTGGGCTCGACCCGACAACCCAACGGGACGCGCGCGCTCGCCCAAGAAAGGAGCCGCACGCCCCCAAATTTGAACACGGAGCGCACGGCCAGCGACTTACTCACCGACAAGGCGAGAGCACCAGGACGATGGGTTTATTCGCTCTTCCACGTCGCCAGCACAAAGCCCTAAACGCGGCCGTGAGAACTCTATCCGTGTTGAGCGAAAACCAAGTGCACTCGCTTGCTCTTCGTGTATATATGCCTCCAAGCTTGCAAAAAGAACAGCCTACTTTTGTTTCAAAAGAAAGGCATTACTCCCCACCCCTCCCCTACCACCACCACCCCTCCCCTGCCACCACCACCCCTCACCCGGCCCTCCTCCCTCTCCGCTCTCCGGTCCTCCGTGACGTCGCCGCTGGCTCCTCGCTGGGGGGCCGCTACCGCCACGTGGCGCCCCCTAGCGGAGCGAGAAGTTGCAGCCCCCCCCTCCCCCCGCTGTTGCTTTCTGATGAGATGCTGACTCGGTGTTGCAGTGAGGCGACGTCACGAGTGAAGCTCGTGGCTTTATTACGGCCCCGATGGAACGAGAGCCGTCCCTAGGGTACACGCCGAATCTTGGCGACTGCCTCGGGCCCCAGGCCCCGTGCTTTAGGGGGGGAGGGCACGCGCTTCGACGTAACAGTATCGTCAGATGTAATACTTCCAATGGGATTTGCCCCGGGCCCCGCTATGGAAGGTCCTGCAGGGGTCGTTGCCCGAAACGTCATCGTCATTGACGAATGCGTTGAGTTAATGACGCTGAGTGAGATGGGTTACGAACACGCTGGCTGGAATTGCCGTCCAGAGGTCGCGAAGCTTTAGATTCGATTCGATCACCCGGAGCGGCGGCTGACAACAATGGGGGGCAAGTTCATTAAATCCCCACCCACCGCTCCCCGCCGGCCCCACCACCACCTCGATCCGCCCAGCAATGTCAGTGAGTGACGCGCCACATTGCAGTGGGGTCACGCGTGGTGGGGTAACGTGTGGTGGGGTCACGTGTGGCGGGGTCACGTGTGGTGGGGTAACGTGTGGCGGGGTCACGTGTGGTGGGGTAACGTGTGGCGGGGTCACGTGTGGTGGGGTAACGTGTGGCGGGGTCACGTGTGGTGGGGTCACGCGTGGTGGGGTCACGTGTGGCGGGGTCACGTGTGGTGGGGTAACGTGTGGCGGGGTCACGTGTGGTGGGGTAACGTGTGGTGGGGTCACGTGTGGCGGGGTCACGTGTGGTGGGGTAACGTGTGGGTGACGCCCGCCTCGTGCAGCACGACTCAGCTAGCGTGTAAGCGTCAAGCTGAGCACCCTCCAGAGTCATGGCGAGTTCTGCACTTGCCAAAACAGCGGTGGCTAAGTAACGACGACATCGTTAGCTCAGGGGGGTGCGGCAATCAGTAAAGTGCCCCCCCAATATTTACTTTGTGTCGCACCTTAGACTATCATATCTCGCGGTTCCTTTTGCCGAATTGCACCATTATATAAGCGGTTTTGTTGGTGTGGTTGCTGTTCTTTTGACACTCGTCCAAAACAAATCTCACGGTGGCTGTGAAGGAGGTGGCTCCAACTCGTAGCTTTGGCTACCAGGGAGGGGATGAGGCGGCGGGGGGTGGGGGGCAGGGCCCCCACCCCCCACGCGCGTTGCGCGACTGTCATGAAGTGTTTAGGTGCGAGCGGAAACCGCGGTTTCGTCCTGTAGTCTGACGTAGGCTGTTGGGATAAGTGCTGATGTTGATCACCGATTCAATCCGAGAAACGCACCAAAAGTAAAGCACGTGGGCAGCACCGGCGACAAATGTGGCGTCGTGTTGAGCACGGGGAGGCTCAGAACCGGTCCCATGTTGGCCGTGAGCGGGACACGAATGACGTCCTGAGCAGATTCGCCGGGTTCACAAGGCACAGTGCGCTAACCGCCGCGCCACCGCTCCCCCCAATGATGTGTGTGTGTGTTGTATACAGATAGACACACATATAAACACGTCCACCTGAAATGTACGTATGTTGACCTTCTTTCGCACCGTACGTAGCAAAACTGAACACAAATACACGAATACAAGCACAACATTACACACATAATCATACAAGTACGCTAACCACTGCGCCACCGCTCCACCATCACACACACACACGAACTCATCAGATACGTATGGACACAGACCTAAAGTACACAAAGATCCTATTACATGAGCTCAAAATTGCGCACACAAATCAACCACTGCGCCACCGCTCCCCCATCAAAGACAAATGTCCCCCTTATAGTCTTAACAGACGTTTGGGGCAATAGCTGTTAGCCAGCACCTAGAAAGGGTGGCACGGTAAACGAGGGGGTAGGTGGCCAGCACCACATACAGGCATACCAATACATGCGCCATTCGCCACGAAGTGACGGTGACGTCACCACGGTGACTGTGCCAGGCCAGGTGCACTTTGAGGCCACGGCTGACAAGAGGAGGTCACGGGACAGACCCAGTTGGTGCCATGGGTTTACTGCCTCAGATGACTGGCAGATGCACCAGCTGTGCCCCTCCTACTGTGCCACCATACACGCCGAGACACACAGACACAGCGGCTGTGTCCCGATACGCAAAGTGAGTTGGCAGGATGTTTGTGGTGGAGGGAGGTGGCTCATCTCTGCGAGGGGGTGGGGGGGTGAATCCCTTGGTCTCTGAGCCGCCATGCTGCGTCCACAGCAGCCTGCCCCACATCCTGCCCATCCCTGTGCCCTGCTGTTCGTGGGACGGCCCGCGGATGAGTGGCGAGTGGCAGAGACTTTCAAAAAAAGACCACGCACCGCGGGGGGGGGGGGGAAGTGTCAGATCCAGGGGGAGGGTGGAGGTGAGGACAATGACGCCCCCCTCCACCCGCTATGAAGGTCTCCATAAGTGATATTTTGTTAATTATTGACCAGAGAAAACACTTTAAATGTTTTGTTCATGAATGTAGACAGCCTTTTTTAAAAAGTTAAAAATTTCCAGACCCCCCCTACTCCTCTCCCACCCCACACCACCCGTCTACTAGATCCGCCACTGCGTGTGGAGCACGTGGAGGTGCCGCACTAGCAGAGAGCGTGAAGGCTGCCCCGCGTAATGTAGTCACGTGCTTTAACAAGAATGAAAACTCATTTCTTTAGAACGGCTTTTTGTTTCGTTTTTTGTTCTTCCCCTGCACCTCCAGTTGTTACGGTTGGCTACATAATGTGCAAAAAAAGTCTACATACATCCGACAATACCGATAAAGGTGCAGCCCCGCAAGTGCCAACATGTCTCCTTGTTTAAACTGAGCATTATAGCGCGCGGGGGTGCGGGTGTGTGGGGGCAGACAATGCCAATCTACATCGGTGGCTCTTAGTGAGCGGTGGGAATTCCACGCAGCAAGTGGCAGCTGCTGCCAATTGTCATGTTTGCTGTGCCGTGCGCTGGCGTGTCGGGACCTACGGGCGAGTCCACTTCAGTGGGCGTAGTAACTGCACGTTTATTTATTTCCAAAAGTATTCAATGAAAAACGATTCAGGTACAGCACACCAGAGGATATGAAAGGGAGGTTGACACCAGCACAAACAAATTACGGATTACAGTGCAATGGATATCTTGTCTAAACCGCACGTTTCAATAAGCTCTACGACCTCCTGGTCTTTTCCTAAGCTCTGATACCCCTGCAGGAGAATAAAAATTGAGATGGGATGGGAGTGCCAAAAATACCCCATGAATGCTCTTAAGACTAAAGTCACTACAAGTTTATTAAATCCATCTTCAGATTGACGATGATACCGCTGCCCTGGAGGGATGGGTTACGAGCACGCTGGCTGGAATTGCCGTCCAGAGGTCGCGAAGCTTCAGATTCGATTCGATCACCCGGAGCGGCGGCTGACAACAATGGGGGGCAAGTTCATTAAATCTACCCCCCCCAACGCTCCCCACCGGCCCCACCACCACCTCGATCCGCCCAGCAATGTCAGTGAGTGACGCGCCACATTGCAGTGGGGTCACGCGTGGTGGGGTAGCGTGTGGTGGGGTCACGCGTGGTGGGGTCACGTGTGGTGGGGTCACGCGTGGTTGGGGTCACGTGTGGTGGGGTAATGTGTGGGTGACGCCCGCCTCTTGCAGCACGACTCAGCCAGCGTGGAAGCGTCAAGCCGAGCACCCTCCAGAGTCACGAGGAGTTCTGCACTTGCCAAATGGCACTCTCGTGAAACAGCGTTGGCGTAGTAACGACATCGTCAGCTCAGAGGGTGCGGCAATCGGTCAAGTGCCCCCCCCCCATCGACTCGACTTGTCTCGCACGGGATCGCCGACGTTTCTGCTCTAATGAAACTACAACGTGGGACATAAATGAAAGCATTTTCATACAAAAGGTTAATCCAAAAAGTGTTTTGTTCTTTTTACGTTATGGTATAAAATAAAAACTCACGGTGGTTATCAAGGGAGGGCCCAACTCGTAGCTTTGGCCACCAGAAGGTGGGAGCCAAGGCACCCGGCCTGGCTGCCCCCACGCTCGTCACGCTACGGGCAAGGTGGCAGATAAAAAAAACTTCACGGCTGCGTCCTCGTCGATTACTTTTCAGCGGCTGATGATGTCACAAAGTTGCGCCTGTCACCTCCAGTCCAGCTGATTTTTTTCCACTGATTATTTTCGCATTGTCCGCCTGGTTGAGCAGTCGATCCGATAATTATCGGCAGGGCGATGGATGACTTAAGTAATCGGATTGCACCGCAGCTCAATGGGGTAAAATTCTTATGGTCCTTATAATGCACAGTGGAGTGAACACAGAACATCACGCGGTCATTTCTTCATGCATTATTTAATTTAACCAGCTGAGACACTATGCCGCAATATAACATTCAATGTAATCGAGCACATTAATCCATGCGCTGTGAAATATATACGGCATGCACCTCCGATTACCTAGGTTGGCCACGTGCGGTGCGAAATAAGTTCAACATAAATACGTATGTATATATAAATATTTATTTATGCCGTATATGATTGCACACGACACATGTCTGCCTGTAATCCGGCACTGTGGAGGCAACAGCGGAGCGTTTGGTGGATCACACAAATGGTCTCGAAAACTCCCTTAACGCAGGCCTTGAGTTTGCCATGGCCCTGGCAGTGCAGCAAATGTGGACTCATCTGTTCCAGCCACACGCGTGCGAGTGTTGCCCCCTCGCGCGTACGGCGTTTCCCATGGCACTCTGGTGTCCTTCCACGTCTATAATCGCTCATTTAATAGAGTTGACCGAGACATCCCAACATAGGGCCACAGAGAGCTTGGGCGATTGTTAGTAGGCA